AGCATTTTTTGATTCCTGAGGAAGAGTAGAGCTGAATTAATGTGTTCATGAGAGCTCATAGCCTCTCATAGAGAAGAATGAAGATGAGATAAAGGAAAGGAGGTGGGATTGAGAAGATGCTGGTGGAGGAGGGGAGATGAAATTGGTGGGAACTAAAGAGGATGAGGTAGGAGATTGAATGGAGGAAAGTGAATAAGAAGAAGAGAGGAGGAGGAAGAAGGGTAATTTGAGGACGTGATAACATTTAGAGGGTGGAAGAAATCAAAAGAAAAAAGTCAAAAAGAAAATGGATTTTGACGGTTGATTGAAATAAAATATACTTTTAAGATGATTTCTGTACAAATTATAAGGAAAAATTGCTTGGAGGAACCAAAAAAACTTGGCTCAAGCATCCTCCTCCCCCAACCCAAAAACCCTAACTCTCAAACCCTAAAATTGAAAAAGAAGTGCAATCAAATCCAAACCCACTGCCCAAGAAAAAAAATCCCAAATTACCCTTCTTCCCAATTTAAAACCCAATCTCTTTCCTCCTCCTAATCTGGCCCAAGACCTCCCCTCCCCCACCACCGCCGACTGTGATGAGATGAAGAACCCGCTCCCCGTCGTCGTCGCCGCCACGCGGCACCCGTCCTCCTCCAGCTCGTAGGTCCAGGACAACGAGGTCGAGGACGATGATGTAGTCGTCGCATCACCACCGGACCGTATACGCTTCTGCGCTTAGAGAAAGAGCAGCAGCTGCTCGAGATCCTTCACGAAGTCGATGGCCCCGGCGACAACAGATGCTTGATCAATCTGTCATAAAACTCACCGTTAAAAAAATGGAGCTCCTTTTTTATCTTCCTCTGCTTCTTCATCTTGTTCCTCTTCGGATTGATTCAAGCCACTGAGCATTTGAAGGAAGGACACGTGTGGTTAGCTCATGTTCAGTGCCGAGTTCGGCTCTATGCATTCAGAGCTCATCCTCTCACCAAAGAACTAATTAGTTTGTCAACAAAAATACATAAAATCAGGAATTGTTTTTTTTTTAAAAGAGAGTTCAGCTAATTTATCGATGGGGTATTCATACAGAGACTTACAAAAGAGTTGATGGGTAGTTGATGTCGGGGTTAACCTTTTCGAACGAACTCATATCTCAAGATGAAGGCCTCCATTGCGATTTCACTTGCTTGTTGTATACTATGTTGAACAAAAAGCTGAGTGAAGAGAAAGTGAAGGGGATTGTGGAGGATGCTGTTGATATCGAGCGGGAGTTTGTTTCTGATGCTATGTCGGTTGCTTTGGTTGGAATGAATGGGGATCTGATGAGCGAATATATTGAATTTTGGCGGATCACTTGTTGGGGGCTTTGGGGATTGGAAAGTTGTATGGAGCTTCGAACCCGTTTGATTGGATGGAGTTGATTTTGTTGCAGGGGAAGACAAATTTCTTCGAGAAGAGGGTCAGGGATTACCAGAAGGCGTCGGTGATGAGAAGAGGGTCGGGAGTTTCTTCGAGAAGAGATGTTGTAATGTTCAGTTTGTTAGTGATGTTTCTTCTTGAATTATGCATAAGATATGTAATATAGTTGTGATCAGGGTTTAAATAAGGTTCCTCTTGTTTGTTGTGTTTGCTGGTTGAATGGGCTCTCTTGAATATGTGATGTTTGGGAAAATGCCTATGAGATAGAGTGATGTGCTTTTTTCGACGTATTTGCTGTTTGTATCTGTGTGATATTTATTCATCTCATGTGTGACATTTACTCGTCTCATGTGGAATGACTCTATTAGATGTGACTTATATTTTTTGTATGTGATATTTTGTTGTTGCTTGTGATATTTGTTGTTTATATGTGACACATGGCTGTAATTTGTGATAGTGATTTGTTTGATACACAGATATATGGTCATATCACTTTCAATGTTGCTGATTCTTTCAACAATTGGATTCATGTGGTAAGAACACTTTCTATTTGCGATATGATGTCATGTTGAAGGACATAACCGAGCCACGTGCACTAAACCTATCCAAATTTAATGTTTCCTGGCAGAATTCAAACTCTTTTGTGACTGTTGTCTGTTACATGTTACTTTTGACATTTTATTGTGACATGTACTACTTAAATGTGACATATTACCTATTCATGTGACTTGTTGGTATTAATTGTGACACCTGTAAGAACTTTACTTTCAGATTCCATTTAATATGCTAAAGAAAAACGATCACCAAGAAATTACAAATGCACATTTTATCATGTAACTGGTAACGAGAATATATCACATAGAAGCAGCATATGTCAAATTCTGGTAACAAGAATATATCACACAACAGTAGCATATGTCACACATAATACCAAAATATCATATAATAGCAGCATATGTCACACATAATACCAAAATGTCACATAATAGCAGCATGTGTCGCACAGAATACTAAAAATATCACATAACAACAACATATGTCACACAGAATACCAAAATGTCACATAACAGTAGCATATGTCACATAGATTATATACAAACACTAAACCATTATTCAAAAACCACATCAGAAACCATTAACATTTAGCAACTACTTTCATTGTCAGTATATCATTCCACTATAACATGCATATTGGTGTTCCATATCGTACATATTGTCACAAACACCTTGCATTCATAAAAATTGTGCCCAACTAGCAGGCCAGCCGTCCGCCTCACAAGCATTTTGTCAAACAGCAAATACGTCGACTCTATCTCATAGGCATTTTTCCAAACATCACATATTCAAGAGAGCTCATTCAACCAACAAACACAACAAACAAGAGGAACCTTATTTACATTTAAAAAAACCTTGATCACAACTATATTACATATATTATGCATAGTTCAAGCAGAAACATCACTAACAAACTGAAGAAGTCGGCATGTGTGGCAGCCCTACAAACGTTGCCAACCTCGAAATCGTAGTCGTCCGCCTCCACCACGTCGGCCCTCGAGAAGACGAAAGGTGATCCCATCGTCAGGTCGTAGCACGCGACTAGCATGGGATTTATGAAATCCCTGATCGTGTGATCCCTGAACACTCTGGGCGGTTGCTGGCACTGAAGAATCTCCGCCTTGAGAGGAAGCTAGGGTTCTTGGAGAGGAGGTCGAGGGCGTCGGCGGCGGAGAAGAGAGGGCGGTCGTCGGGGCCTCCGGTGAACAGCATGGAGGCAAGGACTCCGACGGTGCCAGATCCTGCGACGACGTCGAAGAAGTCGGCGATCGAGCTTTTTTATCACCGGAGA